AGCGGTTGATGCATTCAAAACGCATGTTTTGCAGTTACCTCAATCGGAAGGGAGAAAGTGCTTCGAGAATTGGGATCAAACGCATGCAAAAGTGTATTGATCATCATGGAGAATATTTTGAAAAACAATAAAACCAATTTCGATCATAAATATTTGTTTTTTCATTATTAGGCCAGTAATATAAGTAGCAACCCTCGTATAACGCATCGTGTAACATTTTGCGCATCGTGTAGCATTTTACGCATGTGCTAGAAACAATCACAAGACCGTCCGATTCATCGTCAGTGATCAGAATTATCATCACCGTTGTCTTATCGTTATTTAATCGTTTCTCGACTTCGGATGCATCCGGTCTGTGTGTGGTGCATCGTTTTCGTTACAACCGTGGGAGTATTCAATGATGCGGAAGTGGCACTTGAATATTTACGAAAATATGGCTATCTTAAAATCAACACGTTATCGATGTCATCAAGAAATATGGAACAAGTCATACGTCACGATCTCGGATTCTTTCAAGAATGTTATCAAATACCCAGACAAGGTGAACTGAATAAAATCACATTAAACAAAATGCGCGAACCGCGATGCGGTCGTCCAGATCTTTTGTATCAGACAGATCGATTCAGAAACAATATCTGGCCAAAAAAACATTTTATATGAAATTTTCATCTCGGCGATGAAGAAACTATGAATGTAACGCAGGCCGCGTTCGATCTGTGGGCAGCAAATTCATCACTACCTTTTAAACGCGTATCTCTGAATCCAGACATATTAATATCGTTTCGTGATGGCCTTCACACGAATATTGACAAGAAAAATAGTGATATGCGTCAGAGCCCTTTAGACGGTCCCGGTGGTGTACTTGCTCAGGTATCTTTTCCCACGGATATAAGGATTACGTCACGGAAGTGCACGTAGATAGAGCAGAACCGTGGCATATTCATATTAGTAAAAATCCTCCACGCACACACAGCCTGTTATATGTAATCGCGCATGAAATCGGCCACACATTATGTTTGCATCATAGTGAACACAAGGATTTGATTATGTTTGCGATGGCGCCCAGCGAAATCAATTTTCCCATTACATTGAGCTTAGATGACATTCTTCATATTCGATATCTATATGGTACTAATTACCATGGTACTAATTACCAAAATTACCATTTTACAACTGTAATACCGCCCATCACCATCACCACCACAGCCGTTGTAACTGCAACAACATCAAAAAACATCAATCACGATCCGTGCGCTCTACGAGACACTGATGTCATATTAATCATAAACAGTCGACTGTATATTGCACATAGAAAGTACATATGGTCGATAAATATCAACGAAAATACCTATGAAAAACCGATCGTCATATCAGACTACATGCACTTTCTCCCTAACAATTTCACGCAATTAACAGCTGCATATCAGAAACCTACGGGCAACCTGGTGATATTCGTAGATAATATCATATACCAGGTGTAGAAGTATGAAACCGGAATTTCCATATAGATGGTGCTAGCCATCAGCTTAGGGACCGTAAAACCGCTTCTGCAGCGCCATCATCTCCCTCTAACAGCTGACGAAGATTTTCAACACACAACAACCCAAGTTCCATACACCGGTATATTTTTCTATAACCTTACACATGTCGAGTTTTGTGCCTACGAACTACGATTTGCGGACAGCATTGGTTTTTTGTTATCATTTGAAGAAAACTGCTGCAGAATCGCATGGAATGCTTGTCGAAGCTTACGGTGAACATGCTCTTGGTAAAACACAGTGTTTCGAGTGGTTCAAAAAATTCAAAAGTGGTGATTTTGACGTGAGAAACGAAGAGCGTAGGAAACCACCGAAAAAGTTCGCAGACAACGAATTGCAAGCCTTATTGCATGAAGATAATACTCAAACTCAAGGAGAACTCGCGGATGAATTGAATGTGACCCAGAAAGCTGTCTCAATTCGTTTGAAAGCCATGGGAAAGATTCAGAAAGTGGGAAAATGGGTTCCGCATGAACTGAATGAAAGACAGCAAGAAAATCGAAAAACCACTTGTGAAATGCTTCTCGACAGATACAAAAGAAAGTCTATCGTATCATGACAGGTGATGAAAAATGTATATATTTTGAAAATCTTAAGCGTCAGAAATCATGGGTGAATCTAGGCGAACCATCGACATCCACTGCAATCGCTGTGGAAAGAAGACAATGCTCTGTGTTTGGTGGGATCAGAAGGGTGTAATCTATTATGAGATGCTAAAACCTAGTGAAACCGTTAACACTGATCGCTACCAACAGCAAATGATCGATTTAAATCGAGCATTACGTGAAAAACGACCGGAATATGGAAAAAGACAACACAAAGTCATTTTGCTCCATGATAATGCCCCTTTCACACACAGCAAAAAGGGTCAGGGAAAACGATCGAGGCGTTCAGTTGGGAAATACTAACGCATGCGGCTTATTCTCCAGACTTGGATCCGTCCGATTATCATCTATTCGCATCAATGGGACACGCTCTTGCTGAACAACGCTTCAATTCAATTTCATGAAAATGTACGAAAATGGCTCGATAGCTGGTTCGCATCAAAAGAAGAAATGTTTTTGTGGCGTGGCATTCATAAACTGCCGGAGAGGTGGGAAAAATGTATAAATAGCAATGGACATTATTTTGAATAAAATATTTTTTATCATTTTCAAATAACAGACGTGAAATTTTTACAAAAAAAATTCCGGTTTCATACTTTTACACCTGGTAAATGCTAATTCGCCAGATATCAAGAGGATCAAGAAACATCCCGAATTAATGAAGGTATGACTTAAGATCGTTGAAAACGTCAAATTGTTGCCGAGATTAAGGGGTTAGGCCAGTCTAGAGCCCTCAAAAAAAGCCTAATTTTGACAATTTATTCTGGGAGTAACGAAAAAGGAATCGAATTTCTCTCTTTCAGGCTTTATTAAACATGTATTTGAGTGTATAACAAAATTTTTATATTGACATTTTGATACAAAATGGCGGCTACTGGGCCAATCTTCGGAATCACCTTTTTCAAGAGGGCCTCTACGGGCGACGATGATTCTAGGAACTCGTGCTATCTGAAACAAAATAAAGAACGGGATTTAATTTACATAAGACTTGCTAGTAAAGTACGTATGTTTTTAGCTTTACATCAATTTTTCGCAAAATGGCGGACTTGTAAAAAAAAGGTTCAATTTTTGACCGAAAAAATGAGCAGTAAATTGTTTATAAAAAAAAAGTTGCAATGATAACAAAAAAATCGTACGTAGTTTACTAGATAATCTTACTGTGAAGCTACAGTTAAAATTTCAAGTGGATACGTGCGATAGTCTCCGAGTACCATCGTCGCCCGATTTGAAAAATGCAGTTTCGAGAAAAACGCGTTTAAAGTTTTACGTGCTGAAAATTTTGTTATACCTTCAGTCTGCGATGCCTGCGCCGTACATTTTACCTTCCATGGACACGTGAAACTCATCTTCTTCCTTTCTGGATACCTTCTGTTCGATTCGAGACCTTCTTGCAGCATCTGAGAGCGAACGATCGGATAATTTGATGCGGTTTTGATCTGTCTCTTGACAGTAATTGTAGCAGTTCGGCCCAATTTTGATGCCTATGTTCTGCATGACTCTCATGGCACTTGTGAGGCCATCATTATAAGTACCTGCAGCAATATATACAGCTGTGTCAAGTACATTTTTGCCACTGGATGACATTTTCGGGGCCATTGACCATACTGTAGCGTTGAAACTCTCATTACNTTCGGTCCAATTTTGATGCCTATGTTCTGCATGACTCTCATGGCACTTGTGAGGCCATCATTATAAGTACCTGCAGCAATATATACAGCTGTGTGAAGTACATTTTTGCCACTGGATGACATTTTCGGGGCCATTGACCATACTGTAGCGTTGAAACTCTCATTACTGTTTTGAGTGAAGCCGCCTATGCAACGAGTGAGTAGGTCATCACTGGTTAACTTTTCATAAATTGGAGTTATAGCCTTGTATACTTCTTCATGTAAAGGTGGTTTATGTGTATATTCGTCCAAAGTTCCAGTGGCCTTGGCCTTTTGCCACGAGCACCACGAATTTTCTCCGCTCGGGCAGTGATCGTGCTTGGGCTTGGCATCTGTTGATAATTTGTGATCTAGCGTTGCGTAGATCGCAGTCCTCATTTTCTCTACAGATTCATGATTTCTGCGTATCGCTAGACCATAATAAATTGACAGTTCATCGATCAATTTGCCAGTTAGTTTACCTTTTCCGCCGAGGCCCTTTGTTTTCTTTTTTAAATTCCGGAGATGCGTACCCATGCGTTTCTGGAGGTGATCGATACACTCTTTCTTCTGGACATTAGTGCAGAGGGTAAGAGTCGTAAAAAGGGGACAAAAGGAAGCCCGCCGCGGCAGGTAGAAAATGCGCTCGTGGCCCGCTCCGAACGCTTCGACACTACAGCGGATTGGACAGGGAAAAAATTTTTTTCACTATTCTACCAATTGAATAATGTTTTTAGGACCCTAAAGTGTACTTTAAGCAAAAAAAAAAAATTTCGATTTTTTGAAAATCCTAGACTGGCCTAACCCCTTAATTGTTTATAGTGTTCCGACGGATATGACAACGGACGAAATTCGTGATGAACTCGTAGTTTTGAACTTGAGCAGCGACCACGGAAGTCATATTAGAGTCATATTAAAGTTGTCTATATATGTCTTAACAGGCCGGGAAAGTCAACAAATTGCGTTATCGAGGTATCTCTTAAAGTCCGTAACCTATTGTTAAAGAATAATAAGATTTATTTGCGTTTCTCGGCCTGCAATTTTTCAGACCACGTAAAAATTTTGCTGTCTTATAAATGTCTTTTGTTTGGACATTTGCTAAGCAATGTAAGTCAAGACCGATATGTGGCCACTGTTCTAAAGCCCATGAGGCTAGGGACTGTCCTGAGAAGGATTCGCCGCCTAGGTATGGAAATTGTACTCGAGGTAACGATTCTTTTCCTGATTCAGAGCATGCGCATTTTGCTTTTGACGCTAAAAAATGCCCAATCCTATGCAGGAATATTAAGGACAAAATAACCCACATTAATTATGGATAGTTTAAACACTTTCGATTATTTGCGCCTGTGCCATGTAAATTGTCGATCTTTAATGGCGCATCTTGATGAATTCAGGGACTTTTTCCTCGAACGAAATTATCATATTATTAATAGGTCCGAGACGTGGCTAAAACCACATTATTTGAACAACCAGGTGAGCCTTCAAGGATACACGCTCTTCAGACATGATAGACGTAACAGAGCAGATGGCGGTATTGGCTTTTATCTGCATAATTTAATAAGCGCTATGATTCTAAATCACTCTAATGCATCTAGCTCGCGCATACCCGAATTTTTATTTGCGGAAATATCTTGCAAAGGTGCATCCAAACTATTACTAGTTATGATTTATAGACCCCCTCACTGTAGTTTCATGGATATTTTTGAGAACTCGGTACTCGATGAACTGTCTAATTACCTGTCTAATTAATTCGTTGTTTGCGAACTTTTTCGGTGGTTTCTCACGCTCTTCGTTTCTCACGTCAAAATCACCACTTTTGAATTTTTTGGACCATTCGAAACGCTGTGTTTTACCAAGAGCATGTTCACCATAAGCTTCGACAAGCATTCCATGCGATTCTGCAGCAGTTTTCTTCAAATGATAACAAAAAACCAATGCTGTCCGCAAATTGTAGTTCGTAGGCACAAAACTCGACATATTTAAGGTTATAAGAAAATATACCGGTGTATGGAACTTGGGTTGTTGTGTGTTGAAAATCTTCGTCAGCTGTTAGAGGGAGATGATGGCGCTGCAGAAGCGGTCTTACGGTTCCTAAACTGATGGCTAGCACCATCTATAGGGAAATTCCGGTTTCATACTTCTACACCTGGTATAACATCCTATTATAATAAGCTACGTTGGCTCCGGACGGCTTCTCGGAGGCAATACTTTGTAGGCTGCCTAATATACAATGTTATACAAAATCAACGTCCTGCTTATATCTTTAGACTGCCATCGATCCGATCCGTTATATCTAACAGATGTACTAGAGCTTCTGGTAATTTGCCGTCTGTCCTGCAATGTCGCACGGAACACTTTAATTGGTCTTTTATAACCACAGTATTACTATGGAGCTCACTACCTACCGAGATTCGTTCTGCACGCTCACGTGAGTCTTTCAGGAAGTCACTATATTCATATCTTATAGGACATCGTACAGACTGATACACTACCTTATGCGGAGTATAGGTAACATTATCAACAAATGTTTTTTGACACCATGAAGGGCCGTGTTTCTCACGTCACGTTCTTTTTTAATGCTATTGTATTTTGTTCCTTATGCTCTTTTGCGAATATTCAATATTGCGTATTTTTCTAGCCATACTAGGAAACCTTTCTTATTATTTTTTGATTGTTGGCTGTTTTCGTTATTAATATGTAGCCTTTTACAAATTTCGAATTATGTAACTACCAATAATTATGTATTGCTGCGTATATAGTGCTTGAGAACATATGTCCCAGAGCGCTAAATAAATGATGCTCTCTCTCTCTCTCTCTCTCTCTCTCTCTCTCTCTCTCTCTCTCTCTCTCTATTTACGTGACGACGTCTGAGATGGAGAAAACGTTTCATCCGCGCGACGTTTACAATCGCGCAAAGGACCTGTTTGCGTGAAATTTTGAGGTGGAGAAACAGGAGTCGATCAGAGGGAACGACAAAAATATTAATTTTAAATCACGTCTTATTGTAAATCTTTTAAAATCGCTATGGAAACATCGCTTACCTGATATGCGCGATCGTATTTGCAATTAACCCCTACGTATCTTCCTCTTCTTTGCCAACGTCACCTTTAATTACGGCGATTTCTCTCACAATTTCTAAAAGATTCTTTTCCCGTATTTTGCCGCTATTGTATAAATGCCAATAGAGTACTACTATACGCTGATGCAAAACTATAAAAGAAATAATAGTTTTCCGCATCATCAACGGAAATAAGAGATATATATTTCGCGCGATCGATGGTCGGGTTCGCGCAAAACCCCAAAATAATTAATTCTAACACGGATGCACCAACTTGCGACATTTTTTTTTGTTGCACCACCGTTGAATACTAACGTTGCACTACCGTTGAACACTAATGTTGCATACCCCCGAGTTGCAAAATGTTAGGAAGCTCTGGAAATCCGTATTAATATAGAACGAAGCATGAATTTTCAGCAGTATTTATAACGAAAAGCTTACCGTATTCCCTTAAATTCCAAATATTTTTTTTCGGGGAAATAAGGGAAAACTTATCCTTGATGCAGAAAGCAATAACCCTTGCGTCATACTACCTCCTTACCTTAAAACTCCATTAACATGCGATAAGTATTAAAAGGAGCAAAAATTTTTTAATTTCAAAGAAAACTGATATTTTCATTTGAAAGTATTAAAAACTAGGCTGTTAAATACTCTGTAATCTGACGACACAAGAATTCCGATAAACTTTTTAGGGTGTGACGCATACGATTTTGAAAATGTCTAGAAATTATTATTTACATCAGCGCATACAATTTACAGGAGAAATCACATCCGAAGCGATAATATCCAAGCTAACTTTTGAAATTTTTGTACAGAAATAAGATAAGATAAAATTTAGGAGCTACCCTTAAAATTTACAGCTACCCTAAATCAACAACAACCTGGAGATATCCTCGGGTAAGATAACTCATTCCAGGTTACTTCTTACATACCAACGGTCTGGGAAAATTCCACTTGAGGTTATATTGGGAGTACAAATTAGTTCGGTCCGTTTACAAAAGATGGCTCTGGCTGTTATGAATGTTTCATAGTAACAGCAGATTTCGGTGGTTTCAGAGAGGTTAGACATCTGTCAATAATATTCAGTTTATATCGCTTTGAGATTCATACAAAACCCCTGTTTTTTACTGTGTTGAATATGACAAATTTTGTGTTAACTAAGCAGCATTTGCGGGAGATTTTAGTTTTCTGCTTTAATTGGAAGAAAAGTGCAGCTGAAGCGCATCGAATGCTTGTAGAAGTTTATGGTGACAATGCTCCAACTGATAAATCATGTAGGAAATGGTTTCGACGTTTCAAAAATGGTGATTTCAGCGTTGAAGACAAGCCTCGCTTTGGACAGACAAAAAAATTTGAAGACCAAGAATTGGAGGCATTACTCGATGAAGATCCGAGTCAAACGCAAGAGTAGCTTGCAGAATCATTGTGAGTTACGCAACAAATAGTTTCCGTACGATTGAAATCCATGGGAATGATTCACAAGCAAGGCAATTGAGTGCCTTATGAACTGAAACAGAGAGACGTTGAAAAGCGATTTTTTACTTGCGAGCAGCTGATTCAAAGGCAACAAAGATAAGGTTTCTTACATCGGATTGTGACTGGGGATGAGAAATGGATATTCTACGATAACCCCAAGAAGAAAAAATACTACGCTATGCCCGGTCAATCGTTGCCATCAACCTCAACATTAACACCAAAGCCGAATATTCATGGTTCGAAGGTCATGCTCTGTATCTGGTGGAACCAAAAGGGTGTTGTATATTATAGGCAAAAAATAAAAGTTTTCAAAAATGTTGTAAAACTGTTCTAAAAAAATTTGAGGGTATTTTTTGACTGATTTTAAGACATTTTTGTTCTTAGGAATTTTTCACCAAACTTAATAGTTTGAGAAAAAAATTCGCAAAGTTGAAACAAAAAATTTTCCCTTTCAGACGCCATTTTGTGTCCGTCATTTTGAATTTCGAAAAAAATCGAACGGGGTTTGAAAGAGCAGACATCTATAACACCGTTTATAGCGATTGCGATGGCGTGTGCAAATTTTTTCCAACTCAAAATAAACATTAAAAAAAAAAACCCTGAAAAATTTGTGAATTTTTCGGAAAAACGGCCTATAACTTTTCCGGCTTACGATTTGGATAAAATTTCTCAACGGCATTCGAAAGAGGAGGTCAAAATCTATAAGAAATGATGTTTGATAAGTTTTCATATAATTTTTTCATTAAAAGATATAAAGTTGAAAGTTTAAAAAAATTTGTGTTATGTGGGAGAAAAAGGGTTAATAACAGAATAACAATATTTTAATTCTATTCGACTTGGTATAGACAATGTCTTTCTCTTACAGATTAGCGAACATATGGTGTGACCTTGAAATAATACGCTTTAATTAGCCTGTGTCCTTCGCGAACAGGCAGCTAAATTCCGTACCACGGGAGATTCCGCAACGCGATCAAAGAGAGCGATATCTCGCCTGAGGTCTCCT